AGAAGTGTAAAAATGCTTGATGTGTTGGAGGAATACACAGCGGTAGGCAGACTCTAAGATGGCCTCCAGTGATTCCACCTCTGGATATTAATGTTCTTGTATGATCCCTTGGTAAGATCTATGACCCAAAGAATATGAGAAAGGCAATGGGATCTAGCTTAAGTGATTTGGTTACATAAGATTGTAACTTCTTTCTAGAAGAACATCTTGCAGAAGTCCACATGGCAAGGAACTGACTGAAGCCTTTGGATAACAGCTAGGAACTGAGGCCTTAAGTCTTAATAGCCCTCATAGAACTGAATTACATCTGCTTGGGACCCAATTCTTCCCTATTTGAACCTTCAAATGAGGGATACTCTACATGTGGCCAGTATCTTGATTATAGCCTTTTGAGAGACCCTGAAGCAGAGGATCCATCCAGTTAAGCCATGCTATGAACTTCTGACCCACAGAAACTGTGAGATAATAAATGTGTATTTTAAGCCACCAAATTTGTAGAAAATTGTTATGCAACAATAGATAGCAATAGCTGATAAATATGCTCACTATGTTTTATTTCAAGTCATTGATGGAAGTGTTTTACAGAACAGTGCCAAGTCAGAATGCTGGTTTATCTCAATAGAAATCATTGTTAAGTTAATACTGATCAATTACTTAGCATTTCCTTAGGTTTATTTGTGCAGTAAATGACCTTAATTATGCTTCCACTTGGTCTTTATATATATTTTTTCTTTACTTTGCTTTTTTTTTTTTTTTTTTTTAAAGAGACAGGGTCTCATTATGTGGTGTGATCATAGCTTTTTGTAACCTCAAACTCAAGTTATCCTCCCACCTCAGCCTCCTGTGTTGCTAGGACTATAGGCATGTGCCACCATACGTGGGTAATTTTTTACTTTATTTTTTGGAAGAGACAGGATCTGGCTCTATTGCCTAGGCTAGAGTGCCGTGGTGTGATGGTAACTCACTGAAGCCTTGGACTCCTGGGCTTAAGTGATCTTCCCACCTCAGTCTCCTGAGTAGCTGTGATTACAGGCATAGGTCATCGTATCTAGCCTATATTTTCTTTTTTTTTTTTTTAAACAGAGTCTTGCTCTGTCTCTAGGCTGGAGTGCAGTGGTACAATCTTGACTCACTGCAACCTCTGCCTCCTGGGTTCAAGTGATTCTCCTGCCTCAGCCTCTCGAGTAGCTGGGACTACAGGCATGTGCCACCATGCCCAACTAATTTTTATATTTTTAGCAGAGGCGAGGTTTCACCATGTTGGCCAGGCTGATCTTGAACTCCTGACCTCAGATGATCCACCTGCTTCAGCCCCCCAAAGTGCTGGGATTACAGGTGTGAGCCACCACACCTGGCCTATTTTCTTATTTTTATAGCATGAAATTTCTCACCAAATGCTTTGTCAGAATTTCAGATATATGTTTAGTAATTCTATCTAAAAAGAGAAAGGGTTAGTCTGGCTTTTTGTTGTTGTTGTTGTTATTTTTTTGAGACAGGTTCTTACTCTTTTGCCCAGGCTGGAGTGCAGAGATACAATCATGGTTCACTGCAGCCTCAAACTCCTGTGCTCAAGCAATTCTCCCATCTCAGCTTCCATAGTTGCTGGGACTATAGGCGTGCACCACCGTGCTTGACTAATTTTTGTATTTTTTATAGAGATGGGGTTTTGTCATGTTGTCTGGGCTGATCTTGACCTCTAGGGCTCAAGTAATCCTGCCTTGGCCTCCCAAAATGTTGAGATTTACAGGTGTGAGGCATTGTACCCAGCCATTTTTTTTTTTTTTTTTTTTTTAAAGTAAACCCATGCTGACTTAGCAGTTACTTTTTGTTCTAATTGTTTGCAAACACATCTTTTGGACAGTTCATTCTGGAATCTTATTTGGGATCAATACTAAGATCCCTGACATATGGTTTCATTTTCAGATTTCACCATCTTTTCACCTTTATTTTAGTTATCACCAGGTTTCTAGCAAGTTTCTTTCTCATTTTTACGTGAACTCTCAGATTTCTCTCAAATGGCTTGTTGGGTTAACTGGCAAGTTATATCAAAATTCTGGAGGGTAATTTGTTCAGGCCAGAAGTAGTGGATTTATTTAGAGGAGTGGTGGATTTATTTAGAGTAGTCAGGTGCTCTCTTACAATCTTATCTTCAGTTCCCTCTTACAATGTTTGTTTTATACTTTATATTCTAAATATTATCCTTTTTAATGGGAAAGACAGAAACATATCCATTAATCATTACACCGTGAATTCTAGCACTGGGCATTTCCTGCCTTGCTTTTGTCCCAAACTTCATTTTATTGGCAATAATTTTACTAAGATACAATTCAAAAGCACTTTGTAAGTGGTAGCTGTTGCTACTAGAAATCTTTTTTTTTTTTTTTGAGATGGAGTTTTGCTCTTGTTGCCTAGGTTGGAGTGCAATAATAGCATGATCTTGGCTCATTGCAACCCTTGCCTCCTGGGTTCAAGCAATTCTCCTGCCTCAGCCTCCTGAGTAGCTGGGATTACAGGCACCCACCACCACGCCCAGCTAATTTTTTGTATTTAGTAGAGATGGGGTTTCACCATGTTAGTCAGGCTGGTCTTGAACTCCTGACCTCAGGTAGTCCATCTGCCTCGGCCTCCAAAAGTGCTGGGATTACAGGCATGCTCCATGGCGCCTGGCCCTAGAAATCTTTACATGCAATTTTTACAAAACTTGTTGGTTAAATAAAAATGTTCTACAAAGATGAGTATCTTTCTTGACTTGCTCATGGTAGAAATTTTATGAACATGTGTTAGCTTCAATTGATAGTAACATATAGTAGCCCAATAAGTTAAGATCTGGTCTAGGTTTGAACTTGCTAAAGAGCATTTTTTTTTTTTTTTTTTTTTTAACATGGGGTTTCACTCTGTCACCCAGACTGGAATGCGAGTGCAGTGGTCCAAACACAGCTCACTGCAGCCTGGACTTCTCACCCTCAAGAGATCCTCCTGCCTCAGCCTGCTGAGTAGTTGGGACCATAGGCATGCAAGGAGGTTTTTGCTATAAAAAGAGGTAAAGGAAAACTGAAAATAAATATCACCCACTTCATCATTTGAGCTTGGGTTAGCCTTCATAGAAAAGGAAGATGGCAAGATTATGTTTCCAAAGATACATCAAAGGGGCAAAGTGCTGAATATACAGCAAGCAGGGGATTAATTTGAATAGAAAAACTGCAAAGTAAATCCCCAAATGTTGGTAGATGGTGTATACAGTTTAGAAGAGAACACCAAAGAGAAAAGTTACTCATCATTGATGATCCTATCAAGAGCAGCAGACTCATTTGGCTTGGCTGTTTTCTAAACAACTTGAGGTTTGTTCTTGACTGAAACAACAGTCCTTTGTCTAAAAGCATTTGCTGAGCACTTGGTGAAACTGTCAGTAGTCTCCTCCTCTTTATTAGGTAAGATGTATGAGTAGAGGCCTTAAAACACTTCCCAAGACCTTATGCTGGGGATTTCTGATCCAGAAATTTCCTGGTATTTTTATTTACTTGTTTACCTAACAATTTAGGTGAAGTGATTGAAACTTAACGTCTGTTTTACAATGTCTGGAGTTCGACTACAGACTATAATCTTTTTGTTTGGTTGGTTGGTTTGGTTTTTATTTTTATTTTTATTTATTTTGAGGTGTAGTCTCACTCTGTTGTCCAGGCTGGAGTGCAGTGTTGTAATCTTGGGTCACTGCAACTTCCACCTCCTGGGTTCAAGCGATTCTCATGCCTCAGCCTCCCAACTAGCTGGGATTACAGGTGCACGCCACCCACCTGGCTAATATTTGTATTTTTAGTAGAGACGGAAGTTTCGCCATGTTGGCTGGGCTGGTCTCAAACTCCTGACCTCAAGTGATCCGCCCGTCTTGGCCTCCCAAAGTGCTGGGATTACAGGTGTAGGCCAGCACACCCAACCATGTTTTATTTTGTGTTAAAGATAGTGTTTCGCTATGCTGTCCAGATTGGAGTGCAATCACTATTCACAGGAACAGTTATAGCACAGTGCAGCCTCAAGAGACCCTTCGGCCTCCACCTACCAAGTAGGTGAGACCACAGGTGCATGACATTACACTCAGCTGTAGTTTGTTTTGTTTTGTTTTGGACTGTAATTTTAACCTGATATGAATAAATTAGTCATATATTTAAATTAGCCATGCAAGTGATTTAACTTGTTATCAATAAGGATTTATAGACTATATGAAAGTATGGCTAGATTAAAGATAAATGGTTACATAAATGAATGCTCTTCCTTCTGTTCTCCCTTTTCCCCCAGTCTTTGTCCACATTTTATCAGTTCTTCCAAATCCTCTTTGAATGCTATTCTCTATAGGTATATTCTTGCTGTGTGTAGATCATTGGAGTTTTTGGTATTCAGGCCATTTTTCCTACTATATTATAAGCGGTTAGAAGGCTGGGTCTGTATCTTATTTCTCTTTATATCTTCCATAACACATTGCTTTACACAAAGTTGGTATTTAAACATCAGTGTATTAGTGAATAATGTAATTTATGATGAACATTAATAATCTCAGCTTTTCACTTTATTGAGTGAATATGGAATCTCTCTTTTCTATCACAGGCTTCTGTCTCTAAACAAGGGCAAATTTTAGGGAGACCTCTTTTCTGTTCCTTTTATTTCTCCCCCACCCCTTTTTTTGGTTCCATTTCTCTATTGCAGCTTTGTCTTTTTACTATGACTCATTCTTTTTTTCTCAGTTCTTTTTTTCTGCCCCTTCTGTATTTGTCTGCTTTTTATTACTCCTGCCTCTTGCCTCTTTTAATTCTTAATGCCACTTAAAACTTGTTTCCCCGTCACCTGGTCTTTCTGTTTTTGTTCTTTCTGCTTGACTTTCTCCTCCATTTGTCACCACCCCTCTCCTTGCCCTCAAGGTACAGAGCAGGATTAGGTATAGGAGGAGCCCAGCTGGGGTAGGGGTGGAGCCACCTGTTCACTGCTTCAGGATTCAGAACCTGACTGGGAAGGATCAGCTGCTCAAGGGTAGCTGGGACTGAAGTTCCTATGGCCTTTCTGCTAGAGGCTAGCATTCTGGAGGACAGTTGGGACTTGGTAAGGACAGAAAGCTCTCCCTCTCTTCCTTGGGGTTCTCCCTTTCTTCTTCCGTGTTCTGCATTTTTCACTCACGATCTCTCCATGCTACTAACTTTTCTCTCATTTCTCTGTTTTACTATTCTATCTTTCCTCTTTCTACCTATCAGTGAACTCTAGTGTTTATCTTTTCTGTAACCTATTGTTTCCACACGTCTCTGTATTCTCTCTCAACATTTAACTTTTCCTACCACTACTCCATTTTATTCTTTTATTAGTTTTCTCACCCAGTTTTTTTCTTTTTTTTTTTTTCCTTAAACTCCTGGCCTCAGGTCATCTTCTTACCACAGCTTTCCTAAGTGTTGGGATTACAGGCATGAACCACAGTGCCTGGCTAGCTTCCTTTTACATTTAGTCATTTTCAATCCACTGCTCTATTTTTTTTAAAAAATCATACTATTTCCCCGAGAAGTAGAAATAAGATAGGAAAAAAAGGATCACCCTGTCTTTCCAGGGGCCTGTTCAGCCTTTTCACTCATTTTCAGGCTTGTAGTGTGTTTTGAGATTAGGCTTTGAAGAAAAAATTATGCTGTACAGATAGTAAACAGCGAACTTAGAGTTAGGTTGAATATTCAATGTAAAAGGTTTAATTTTATTCTCTTTTCCTTGTTTTACTTAGATTTTTCCTGCAATACAGTGGATACAATTTGTCATGGCTACTCTGAGGTATGTTTATTTAATTGCATGTAACTAAACCAGTATAAACAAAATTCAACAATTCTGCTGTTTTCCACATTTTTCCCTTAGGGATCTGCTTTTACTCTTTAGTCAAAGAGAAATGATATTCTTTATCATGTTGATATTTTCTTACTAATAAAAAGACAACATTAACAATAGCAACAAAAAATTGATTAAAGGATAACATCTGAAAATCAGTGGACAAACTGATTAACAGGATCAATTGCAAAAATCAATAGGAAAGTGCTTACTTAAGCAGCACGTATTCTAAAGATCAGAATGACATAGAGAATGTTGGTAGGGCTGAGCTCACACCTGTAATCCTAACACTTTGGGAGGCTGAGGTGGGCGGATCACTTGAGCTCAGGAATGTGAGACCATCCTGGACAACATGGTGAAACCCTGTCCCTCCAAAACAAAACAAAACAAAACAAAAAAAGTAGCTGGATGTGGTGACATGTTCCTATAGTTCCAGCTACCCCGGAGGAACCATAATTGTGCCACTGCACTCCAGCCTGGTTGACAGAGTGAAAGCCTGTCTCAAAAAAAAAAAAAAGATTGGCATGGCCTTGCATAAGGAGAACATGCAAGAGATTTGTGAAGCATTCTGTATTTGTTTAAAAATATTGCTGGATGTGGTGGCCCATGCCTATAATCCCAGCACTTTGGGAGGCTGAGGCAAGAGGATGGCCTGAGCCCAGGAGTTTGAGACCAGCCTGGGCAACATAGCGAGACCCTGTCTCTACAAAAAATTTTTAAAAATTAGCTGAGCATGGTAGCACACGCCTATAGTTCCAGCTACTCAGGAGGCTTAGGCAGGAGGATCATTTTAGCCCAGGAGTTGGAGGCTACAGTAAGCTGTGATTGTACCACTGTACTCTAGCCTGGAGTGACAGAAGAAGACCCTATCTCTAAATAATATAATTAAAAATAAAAAAATTTAAAAAAATATGTGCAGGGCCAGGCATCGTGGCTCAGACTTGTAATCTCAGTGCTTGAGAGGCCAAGGTGAGAGGATCACATGAGGTCAGGAGTTTGAGACCAGCCTGGGCAACATAACAAGACCCTGACTCTACAAAAATAAAATAATTAGCCAGATGTGGTGATGTACACCTGTAGTCCTAGCTACTCAGGAGGCCGAGACAGGAGGATCACTAGGGCTCAGTAGTTCAAGGTTACATTGAACTATAATGGCACTCCAGCCTGGCTGACATAGCAGGACCCTGAGTATAAAAAAATTTTTAATGCAGTTCATTTTATATCAATTATGCCAATAAAACTGTAAAAATAACAAAATAACAAAAATGATAGCACTTTATTGTCCTGCTTTAATGATCAATCATCTTATAAATCTCTCAGTGTTATAGGTTCAAGTTCACTTATTGCCTATGCGGTATTCCAGAATGTACAGAAATCTCCAGAGGTGAGTAATCTCTCTTTGTGTTGGATTTTAACTTTTTAGTGACTTAGTCTCTGAAACAAGTAACAGATATTGCCTGTAAATGATGAAATAATTCTATGAATTACTTTTAAATTTGTCACGATGATACATTAAGATATTTTAGGCACGGTCAATAGGGCAGGGATTTTTAAAAGTCCATACTTTTAACTGTAATTGCTCTCCAAATTAAATAAAATTTTTAACATTTATTATATTCTAGATACATTTGCTCAGTGCTTTCAATGTATTTTTCATTTAATCCTTAAAAAACTTTTAGATGGATATTATTAGTCTGATATTGTAGGTAAGGAAATTGAATCCTTTATTAGGTTGAGGGGCTTTCCTAAGTTCTTTTTTTTTTTTTTTTTTTTGGAGACGGAGTTTCGATCTTGTTACCCAGGCTGGAGTGCAATGGCACGATCTCGGCTCACCGCAACCTCCGCCTCCTGGGTTCAGGCAATTCTCCTGCCTCAGCCTCCTGAGTAGCTGGGATTACAGGCACGTACCACCATGCCCAGCTAATTTTTTGTATTTTTAGTAGAGACGGGGTTTCACCGTCTTGACCAGGATGGTCTCGATCTCTTGACCTTGTGATCCACCTGCCTCGGCCTCCCAAAGTGCTGGGATTACAGGCTTGAGCCACCGCACCCGGCCTTTCCTAAGTTCTTAAAGCTAATAAGTGTTAGAGCTGGAATTTGAATGCAGACTTGTCTTGTTCCAGAATCACCCCCATACACTTTTAAACCACCAAAATATACTGTCGAATGAAAATGGATTTTGAAGTTTCAGAGGTAGATTGTGACTATTTAAGTCGAACTAGAAAGTAGAAGTCTTGATGCTGTATTGTCATTGCCTGCCAAATTAATTTTCAGTCAAACATCTTGAGATTCAAATTTTCCTAATGTTTATTTCCTTTCCTGGAATTTGAGTTCCGATGTGATTAAGTTAATCAAGTATGAGTTACACAATAGAGCTAAGCTTTATCTCTGAAAGCAGGGTTTCTCAGCCTCAGCATTATTGTGATGTGGGGCTAGATAATTATTTGCTGTCCTGTACATTAGGAAGTTTGGCAGCCTTTACCAGCTAGATACTAGTAGCAAAACCTCCTTTCTTCAGTTGTGACAACCAAAAATTTCTTCAAACAATGCCAAGTGGTCCAGGTGTAGTGGCAGGTGCCTATAGTTCTAGCTACCAGGAGGCTGAGATGGGAGGATTGCTTGAGCACAGGAGTTCAAGGGTGCATCGAGCTATGATCATATCACTGCACTCCAGCCTGGGTGACAGAGCAAGACCTTATCTCTTTAAAAAAAAATGTTGAATGTCCCTGTGAGGGTGGGATCAGGATGAAATTGTTCTTGTTTGAAAATTAATGTCCAAGGTGATGTTCTGGCATAACGGTGGGTTGGAACTTCATAAAGATATAAGGTGTAAGGTCTAATTTGGCTTAGAACGTAACTTAAAAAAAAAAAATTATAATTAAAACAAAATAGAGATTCTCTTGGGTAGGGAGAGCTCTTGGTTTATTCTGCCCATGGTTTAAATTAAAGACAAATGCGGGTTGGGCGCAGTGGCTCATGCCTTTAATCCCAGCACTTTGGGAGGCCGAGGTGAGCGGATTGCCTGAGCTCAGGAGTTTGAGACCAGCCTGGGCAACATGGTGAAACCCCGTCTCTAAAAAAAAAAAAAAAAAATTAAAAATAATAAAGCTCATGCTCTTAAGAAAAATACAACCAGCATAGTGCCTGGTAATAAAGAAAACCCAAAAAAGCATAAGATATGGTTCTAAACATGAAAGCAAAAAACTCTTAAAAAAAAAAAACTCACATATATATACATTAGTATTTGTCCCTTTTTTTGACTTAGAAATTCAACTTTATTTACAAATGTTCTCCTATTTACAAAAAGTCCATTCCAGCTCTTTAAAAATATTGTAACTGATAATTTCCACGAAAAAACATTTACATTGTTTCAACCTTTCTGCTTAAAACTGTATTATGAGATGAGCAAACAACCCCACAAGAAGATTTGAGACATAAAAAAATAAATAAAAGACAACCTATCTAGCATGAATATCCTATTGACAAACACAAGGAAGAATTAAGAATCACAACCCACAGTGTGCCACTTCACCAAGAAATGGAACTGTAATGATTTTGCAGGAGGTAAATGCTTCACAACAGTCTTCTTGTGTAGTACAGTTTAATTGTGCTCTGGCACTCCTAAACAATCCTCTTGCTGCTTTATTTTACATCATTATTGTAAAAAGGTTAGACTTTTATAGATTTTTCTAACAATGAAAATATGTTAATATTGGTCTGGGTCTCATTATTTAGGCTATTAGTAAAATAATAAATGCATGAAAAAAATGTAAAACAAAACAATCATCATGTGACTAACAGAATTCTCCTTGATATCACAGTATTACTCCTCAGTAGTGTCTATAAATTTGAATTCTTCATCACTGAAACAATATGCAGATAAAATAATAAACCAAGGAGGTCAAAATAAAATTACCTATTTATCATTTTACGTGTAGTAATTACTTTTTAAAAATCCTTTAAATTTTATCTAGGAATAAGCACTCATATCATGGCTGAGTCCCAAGTAACTTCAAAACTTTGAAAAAAAATTCATCCCTGATAAATGAGAGATAGAAAAATTCTTTAAAAAAAGAAACAACAGTCTTATGTAGTTTTTTAGCAGTCTCACAATGCATGAATCACTATCAACAGTGAGAAAATATTCCAGTCCTGGGGAGTTACTGCCTCTCATGATCTGATTTTTTTTTTCTATTTTTCTTTTTGAGATAGGGTCTCACTTTGTCATCCAGGCTGGAGTGCAGGAGCCCAATCTCAGCTTACTGCAGTTTTGACCTCCCAGGCTTAAGTGATCCTCCCACCTCAGCCTTTTCTCCAATAATGACCTAAATTTCTTCCACTGATATTCATCCAAATAACAAAAGTAACACAATTACAATTGAGTTTACCGTTATTAATGGCTTCTCATCACAGTTGTTACAGATCAAATACTGTTCATTAGCTGAGATTTAATTCCTGGCTCCTCTCCGAATACACGAATTCCCTGGTCTGTTCTCCAGCCAATGTTCTTGAGGAATCTCTCCTTGTGCAGCATGGCAATGGCGCTGACACGGAGGAGGGCTACCTCCAGCAGTGAATATTCATGCTAGATAGGTTGTCTTTTATTTATTTTTTTATGTCTCAAATCATCTTGTGGGGTTGTTTGCTCATCTCATAATACAATTTTAAGGAGAAAGGTTGAAACAGTGTAAATGTTTTTTCGTGGAAATTATCAGTTACAATATTTTTAAAGAGCTGGAATGGACTTTTTGTAAATAGGAGAACATTTGTAAATAAGGTTGAATTTCTAAGTCAAAAAAAGGGACAAATACTAATGTATATATATGTGAGTTTTTTTTTTTTTTTTTTTTTAAGAGTTTTTTGCTTTCAGGTTTAGAACCATATCTTATGCTTTTTTGGGTTTTCTTTATTACCAGGCACTATGCTGGTTGTATTTTTCTTTTTTTTTTTTTATTTTTATTTTTATTTTATTTTATTTTAGGTTTCGGGGTACATGTGATGAACATGCAAGATTGTTGCATAGGTACACACATGGCAGTGTGGTTTGCTGCCTTCCGTCCCCTCACCTGTATCTGTCATTTCTCCCCATGCTCTCTCTTCCCACTTCCCCACCCCCCGCCCCTCCCCCATTTTCCCCCAACGGACCCCAGTGTGTAGTGCTCCCCTCCCTGTGTCCATGTGTTCTCATTGTTCAACACCCGCCTATGAGTGAGAATATACGGTGTTTGATTTTCTGCTCTTGTGTCAGTTTGCTGAGAATGATGGTTTCCAGGTTCATCCATGTCCCTACAAAGGACGTGAACTCATCCTTTTTGATGGCTGCGTAATATTCCAATAAAAACCTTAGAGGAAAATCTAGGCAAAACCATTCAGGACATAGGTGTAGGCAAGGACTTCATGACCAAAACGCCAAAAGCAATGGCAACAAAAACCAAAATAGACAAATGGGACCTAATCAAACTCCACAGCTTCTGCACGGCAAAAGAAACAGTCAGTAGAGTGAATCGGCAACCAACAGAATGGGAAAAAATTTTTGCAGCCTACCCATCTGACAAGGGGCTGATATCCAGAATTTACAAAGAACTAAAGCAGATCTACAAGAAAAAAACTAACAAGCCCATTCAAAAATGGGCGAAGGACATGAACAGGTACTTTACAAAAGAAGACATACAGGAGGCCAACAAACATATGAAAAAATGCTCAACATCACTGGTCATCAGAGAAATGTATTTTTCTTAAGAGCATGAGCAGTATTATACATTTCCTTGTGTTTCCTTCAAAATAATATCTTTTTATCCATAGGAGGGATGGAATATTTCTTGATTTTAATACTAGGTACTGAGTTAATTTTTGTTGTTTAATTGATTGAACTTTATCTCCTGTCATTAGAATTGAGTGCAAGCAAGCCTCACCTCTTCTTATTCTCCTTGGCCCTGCCAAAGACTTTTGGTATGTTTTAACATCCCTGTATACATAGGGTTCTTTCTTTCTCTTCTTTCTTTCTTTCTTTCTTTCTTTCTTTCTTTCTCTCGCTTTCTCTTCCTCTCTCTTTTTCTCTCTCTCTCTTTTCTTTACAGAGTCTCACTTTGTCATTCAGGCTGGAGTGCAGTGGTGTGATCTTGGCTCATTGCAACCTCCACCTCCCAGGTTCAAGTGATTCTCCTGCCTCAGACTTCTGAGTAGCTGCAACTACAGGCGTGCACCACTATACCTGGCTAATTTTTTTGTATTTTTGTTAGAGATGGGATTTCACCATGTTGATCAGGCTGGTCTCAAAGTCCTGACCTCAGGTGATCCACCTGCCTCGGCCTCCCAAAGTGCTGGGGATTACAGATGTGAACCACTATGCTTGGCCTCATAGGGTTGTTTCTTGAATTAATGATC